ACCACATTCCATACATGTTTTCAGCCTTGTTCTCTAAGCTTTCAAATTATTGAACCTGGCACAGGGACAAATTACCACCCTATGGTCCCCATTTTTTATATCATACATTATATAATACACATATATTAGAAACTAATACCAAGTTCCTGTGCATGTAAATAATAATGGCGGCGCCCAGTACCAAGTTGCCTTGTCGACTATATGTCATGATTTATGTAAAAAAACAATGGAGGACAATACTTAAAAAAACATTTTCTGTATATGATCAGTTGGTAGTGATAATTGACCATATTCTAACTGTAAATGATAACCAAGGGAAATACATAGGCGACCAGTGCTGAAATAATCTTGAAAGTTTAAAGTTTTGCTAGTAAAGTGTCTATGCAAGGTGGCAGGGGAGGGAAATTAAACACAAGGCTAAATCTGCCAAGGTTGAATAGTACAAATTTAAATTATGAACCCTTGGCTATTAAAGATGGTGAGATAACGAGGTAAGTTCGTAAAATAAGATGTGTCTTCAGCAGTATGCTCCAGTGAAATTACACTATAAAGTCAGCATCGGTCCTGCGCTATCACAAGGAGACAAACATGAACATACCATAGACTCCAAAAACACAAATTAAATATGCACAAACTCACCACACGCATGCATCTAGCAAATGGGGGAGGCCATCCTTAAATGACCATGTATAGCTGTTGATAGGACGTACATTAAACAATACTAAATCAAACCTGAAGTTTATTTTGACATAAAGATCTTATTTATTTGGATAATTTCATGGAAATGATGACTTGTTATTTTAAACAAATGATTTGCTAATTTCAGCTTGCATGCACTGTATGAATGTTATTTTAATAACATTGTACCCATATGAATCCATGATTGTCGTGAAGTGGTGCTTTATTTGAATTTAATACATTTGATGCTCTATTACCTGACCTGGAACGCATTCGTAGCCATACCGAGACAATACAATTCTGTGGTATAACTGCATATATATTGTGTACATAGTTTAAGCGTCTGCGAGACCAGCTGTTCTAACTTACAAACGTCCAGGTGACGAGAAAGAACACGAGAGAAATGTTTTTGACTTTTGACAGGAGCTGTAGGCAATTCACACTTTTCAATTTGTTTTGAAGTTTTTTCAAATTTCTGGACTGGCTTTTAAGTAAGTTGTTTTAGTGCCAAATTTTGTACAGTATGATTATTTAGCCTCTTTATCTTAATCCATCAAACGTAGGTATCTTGTGATAAAATTTGTTGTTTGCCTTACATTGTAACAATGTTTCAAGCTCCTGAGAGCTTATGTTAACTATGACATTTATTTAACGTAAAATAATGATTCTTGTATATTTTATTTTGAAGTAACATGCCACTATGCTTTTATCCGATATTTTTAAGATAAAAAAACCCACACACACAAGCTTTTAATCACGAACTTTTCCTCGAATTCGCCTATGTATAATCTTCGGCACGATGAAGGACATAAGTTAACTTAAGGTATACTGTTGATGCCGACATGTGCAATTGTATGTAAACTGTAAAACGAAAGTAGGTCTGCGCGATCGCAGGCATTTAATGCTGATATTTCCGCATAAATATCAGTTAGTACTTGATGTGATAGCAATGGATTAAACGAGTGTTACCTTGTGCTGGATTCTAGCACATCAGTGTCTCAATACATACGGTATTAATCTGTTAATGTTCGATAAACGTCTGTTTATAATTACTGTCCTGATTATGTTGTGAGCTATTTCCGGGTCACGTTCTCGTATCAAGTGCGCTTCCGGTTACGTCATAAAATGCAAAATCTTTTTGATATTTATTAATAAAAGATAGTTTAAAGAATAAACTAGTTAATAAAACAAATATCAATACATTGTAAATATTATTTTCTTGAATGTTTGCGAAGCAGACGACGTTTGATCATAATCTGGAAATAGAACATTTTTTCCAAACAAATGTGTTTTAACATTTGAAAGAAAAAAATTGAAGGGGAAAAAATAAATGTGTTCTTTTATGAATTAATGAAAGTGATACAGAAAAGAAATATAGTAAATAACTGATAGTAAATTTATCAAAAACATCATCCTTGGAGAGTATGTTCTGGGCACGATCGTTTAGAAGCTTTGCAATACTTTAAACTCTTTCAAACGCGCATCAGCTCGAGATTAGGTCCTGTTTACAAAATGGCGACTGGAAGTAGCAAGGCGGATTAAATTGGAATTTAAATTGCGTTTATTTCGGCAAGTAAGCATTGTTCACAAAGCCCATGTGGTCTGTTCATCTAATTTAGTCAAGATGTACTCAGAACAGTCGTTGTTTAGTCGCTAGGGTCATTTACAAAATAATTAGGATTATTATATAAACTTATTGTAATTATTATTCTTCTGTGTTCTTCTTCTTCTTCTTATTCTTCAGCCATGAACTTGTCCGGAGGTTTTCTCAGAAACTACTGGGCAGATAATCATGAAACTACACACATATACTCATTAGGGGGTGTAGGTGTGCAACAAGCTATTTTTATCTCGACCGGAAGTCCAAGATGGCCGCAATGATTTTTTGAAATTTTCGGGAATTTAAAATTTCTAAAGGTGTTCGCTAAGGTTAGCCAATGTCACCTATCCTATTTTACATGTTTTACATATATTTCCCAATGCATTCCAAATTTGGCATGTAGGTGTATGATGGTACCGCGAACTCAACTATGACATCCGTTTTATAATTAAACAAAATGACTGCATATACTGGTTCTGATTGGTCGAAATATAGATGTTGTCTGATTCTGCCCGGAATTGGTACATAGGGGTTTTGAGGGATGCCGAACACAATGGTAACAGTTTCGAAAAGTTTAGTTGCCATGGTAATGAAATAGAGGCCTTTGATTGGTCGAAATTTAGCTGTGGTCTAAATCTGCCCAGAATTGGTACATAGGGGTTTGAAAGGATGCAGAACACAATATTAACAGATTCGAACAACTCAGTTGCCATGGTAACAAAACGGAGTCCTTTCATTGATCGCAATTTAGCTGTTGTCTGATTTTGCCAAAGTCCCTAAGTCCATCAGGGGTCGTTGGGGGACTTCTGTAACGGCCATCCGTTACAATTAGTACTAGTTGACATTATTTTGCAAAAAGATTGTCTTTCATTTTGATCCAAAATTCACTCCTTTTTACATAAATTCCCATTTAAAATCCTTAAAATCCGATAACCTATATTTTGTTTTGTGGCTGAAAATTGTCTTTTCTTCTAGGCAATATAACTACAAAATTGGAAGAAATTCTACTGAGAAATGATGACACAAACCTATTACCTTTATAAACATATTATATATAATTTGATATTAGTTATTATGATTCAATAAATGAAAAGTCAATAATTAGTTAATATGATTTAATAAATAAAAAGAGGAGGCACGATAGTTTAGTGGTAGGACGCCGGGATCGTGACCGAAGGGTTGCGAGTTCGACTCTCGTCACGGCACTGTGATGTATCTTTGAGCAAGATACTTTACTCCGCTTGTTCCAGTCTATTCAGCTGTAAATGAGTACGTGGTTGGGTAGTGCTATGATTGTAGAAAGCTAGCTGTGAGCGCAAAAATGGCAGCACCGGCTGTGTGCTCCCCAGGGAGTTGTGAAGAAAGATATTGGCTGGTTGGAAAGGCCCTATAACCACGGATAATAATTTGTGAACCGCTTTGAGACGACCTACGAACTAGGTTGTGATAAAGCGAAGTATTATTATCTTTTTTTATGATATTATATCTATTAATTGTTGACAGAATACGAGACACCTGTAGTATCATATCTCAACTGCTAACTTTATTTCTGTAAACAACTTCGCATTGTTGTCCGCGGTATCAAAACATGATTCAGCCAGTGAATTCATATTTAATACATTTATTTTAGTAAATTACCAAAATTTTCATTTCTCATAAATTTGGGCGACTTTGGTTTTTCTTTTTCGTTCAGCAATGATTTTGTATTCCGTCTTTGCGTATTGCAGAGTTATCTTCTTTTGGGAGCAGATGACCAATGACGAAACAATCAATACCTGCTCCCAAGAGAAGATAACTCTGCAATACGCAAAGACGGAATAGAGGATATAGGATCTTACATGAGTTTCCATTTCATATGAGATTTATGAAACGAGTCTAAGAATCTTTCAATTCAGCGAGCCCCTGGTGAGCTAAAATGACAAATTCGTGACGAGTTTCATCAATCTCATATAAAATGGAAACGAGTGTAAGATCTTTTTCATCACATAATCAAGTTTCGTGGCATTTATTCGTGTAATTTTTTTTTTAAGCAACCTTGATGTAAAAAGCCGCCATTTTGACTCCAGTGCGTAAGTTTGTGACGTCATCAACTTGTCCTAGGCGTGTCGCGACAATTGAAACAATTGAAACTTACGATCAATCACAGGGCTGATAGGTCATATAGCATAGGTCAATACGCAAAAAAATATGGCATGTGTATATTCACTGGATAACACAGTACATTATGTGATAAAGTACAATTTCAACAAAGGCAGAAGTAAATTGAAATACATGAACATGTAGATATATTTCCTTCTTCATGCATAGCATTAACAATAACTTTCTCCAGAAAATTCATTATTTGTTATTAATTTAAGTAATTCATGACTTTTCATCTATAGTGATACTAGTTAAATTTAAAAACTTCACAGCCCGGTTGTGTTATAAGAAGTTCGGGCAGTTTTTTTGTGTTGTGGTTCAGTATTTAAGTGCTGTTCCTGAATTGTTGTTTTAATGCATTGATAGACTCCAGGCCACGTAACGATAATAAACGAGGTCCCGACCCCAGGTACCTGTCATACAGTGTTCCTAGTACTATCAGTGGTTGGCTCTCTGCTTGATATTTGATTAAAAACCCACTCGACGGAAATGTGTATCTATCAGTACAGTACTACCTCGGCCTACTTTAAATATACACATGTAACTTAAAATAGAACATGTTCTCATATACCCGGAAGATGAATGTTTTCGGGAAGCATCGCCGCCATCTTGACACCCTGAGATAGGTGTACAAAGACCTGGACGAGATGGCGGCCCAGACACCAATACCTGGTTGTCCTCGACATCCAGGGATGGGGTTTGTTTATGTCTGTAAATCGTGTGAAGACCAGTTACTTTGTATGGAGTGTGTTACAGACAGTCACAACGGACACACGCTGGGTAAACTTACTGATTACATGGCGGACCAGAAACGGGAAATACAGCAATATGCCGACAAGCTCTCAAAAACCGATATTCCCAAAACTGAGGAAGATATCAAGGAAAGTGGACAGCATGCCAAGAGTGGACGATATCAGAAAATGATTGAGGGAATCAGACGTCAGGGAAAACAGATGAAAGACAACATCGACAACGCCATTGACATACTTGTGAGGATGTGTACCGAGTTAGAGGAGCGCAATGCAGATATTGCAGAGAAAAACAAAACTGCATTTACTAAATATCTGAGGGAGGACTTGAGACCAAAGCTGGACAGGTGCAAAGAAGTACTGACATCCGGTACAGCTGTTGACGTCACTACATTAGCGCGGGAAATAAGACACGGTGTCTCCACTATCCCACCAACTCTCATTGATTTGCAGAAAGTTGAATTCAGACACGGGACAATCTCCATCGAACTCCTAGAATGCATGCTTGGTAAGTTACTAGTCAATGGAGAAGACGAGTCGAACAAACTTGTTGCGAAATGTGTGGTTTTGTACGAGTTTCAGACGTCGTGTCATTTCACTACATGTCAAACATGTCTTAATGGTAAAGAGGCATGGTTATCGTTCTGGAAGAATGAGACCATATATCGAGTGGATTTGAAAGGCAAAGTCAAAAAGAGGATATATTGTCAGGGAAAAGTATCATCGATGTCCGTATCTCCAACCACCGGGAGAGTATGGTTCTGTGTGAGGAATGACAGAAGTATCCGGGAATTCATGACGGATGGAGACATTGTTACACGCTTTAACGTAGGTAGCACACCATATACTGTGTGTATCACTAGTGACGACATGATAGTGGTGGGGATGTCAGGAGGAATACAAATGTACACTACCGACGGACGGATGGTGTCGGCAGGAGCGGGTGGTCCCTGTAGACAGGTAGCAGTATATCCTCATCACATGACGTCATGTACACTGACCGGGGATGTAGCTGCTGTTGATAAAGATGGTATATTGTTTGATGACTACATGGCTGGTAAAGAACCAGGCAAGCAACCGCGCGTCATAGTGATGGATAAACACCTCAACCTGCAGTTTTACTGTAAAGACATCGGTATGACCAAAACGGACGGAAGTGACATTCAATCATCAAAGTTTTACCCGTTCGATGTTTGTTTTGATGGAGCTGGTGATGTCCTTGTAACGGAATTTGTCACCAAGTCAGTATTACTGATTGACAGGAATACTGGACACTACATGAGGACTGTCTATACATCTGATGGAAGTGTACCTTTGTGTATCAGTCTATGTGATGACGGCATACTTTGGATCGGACACCAGTATCAACTGATAAAGGTCACCCAATACAGGTAGACGCTTGACGACTATGCATCACTACATATAGAAAAACTCAATGCATTTTCATTTCGTAACCATAGTGACAATAAACACACGTACAATAGGAAGATCTTCAGCCATCGCCATCATAGTAAAACTTAAAGTGATGACCGACAGTCGTATATAGAGACATCATGGTCAGGATTAAGAATATAAAGTTCGTTTACTTTGTGACATCTGTAAGATGTCTAATAGAACACAGTGATTTGTGTATTAGGTGACCATGGAGCGTTACGAGGATATTCGAAAATACAATTATCTGGACAAACGGGAAGTTTACTTTACCTCTGTCCTCCGTCACAGGGGATAGGCATTATCTTACAAACTTTCCTGAATAAACCAGAAGTTCACTTCGATACTCTCTTCCATACAAAGCCATTAGCATTCTCTTGAAGAACAACCAGGCGCTTAGGCAAGGTCTTGTATAAGTATCTATCTATATCTATATATCAGGATATTTAATTGACCTTAATATTTTAGAATACCAATCCAATTTTGTTATTTTAATGAATAGTTCAATATATCACATATTTTCCTTAAAAAAGTGTTTCTTATCTGTGTTAATTTTTGTACATATTTATCGAAATAATATTTAACTCGTAGAATTTAATATTTTTGTTTTATTGTTGTTTTTGTTGTTTTTCAATTTTTGAATTTACTAAAATTTGAATAATCTTCAGGCTCGTGGTACATGAAAGATCCAGTCAATATTTGAAAATGCTATTTCATGTTGGAGTTCCTTATCAAAATGTTATTTAACATGACTTTGAAATTATGACTTATTTATTAAACTAAAGCTAATTTCCAAGAAAAGTATATTCGTTTCTGACATTTTGAGTTTTGGCTGAAGACGAGTATTTGTATTTCATGATTATGAACCAAATCCTGATAAACGTTTCTGGTGATATATGTTCATTTAGCTGTTGTGTTATAAAATCAAGGTTAAATCTACGGATGGTTAGCATATTGATGTAAAAATTGTACTTTTAATTTGCGACCAGGGTCCTAAATTATGTGTTCCACCAAAATATGATTCGTTGACTTTTCTCCGGGTACTACTTGGTAGCGGGTTCGAGACCAGGTACTGTCCGCAAGTCGTTGATTTTATTCCGGGTACTCCGGTTTCCCTTCACAACAAAAACCTGGCTCGTCCTTGGATGACCTTATCTGTTAATAGAACGTAAAGCATAATAAAGACAATCCAAAACAATCAAGCAAATTATTTTCTCGCTGCATACAAAAGTACATAAATAAACATTACCAAAATGTTAATAACGCTGCGTGGTTTCTTCAGATGTCTGCTGTTAATGGCCGTTCTAAATATTTCTGCTTATAGCAGCCTCATAACACGATAGCTTTGATTTACCTGAAACTAAATCATACACATATACAGCTGATATCATGGTAATGTTAGATATTTCGCATTGAACACGAATCCGAATCGGTATAAGTGTTCACATCCGTATAGTGTGGAGAGAAACCAGTAACCAGCAATTGTATCAAATAAACCGTTTAACAGTATTTTAGGATTCATGGTGATTATAAAACCCTGGGAACCCTATCTTTATTATTTTGTAGCTTGTTTACGTATTTGTGTAGTCTAGTTGTGCATATAGAATGTAACGTCCCTCGAGTGCATTATGAATGGGTAGTGTCACCTTTTCATGACAGTTTATGAATCACGGGTAGACGCATACACGGGTAGCAGGATGTGTTCCATGTTGGTTAGTTGTGTGGAGGCCGACCACTGACAAGCGATATGTATGTGTATAGACAGGCTATTTTAAGTTTTTTGTCCTTTGTACAACGGTATGAATATCGTGAACTATTTCTGTGTTTATAAGTTTGCTGATGGGAACATTACATGCAATTTGTTTACGTTAAAAGATAGACGATAATCCAGCAAATATATAATATTATAACACGACTATGGTGTATGCACAACATAAATGGAAGGTTGTAAATTATGTAATAATTATGTACGTGCTTGTTATTTGTATAAATATAAATATACCCTGGATAACTATTGTGTATTTAAAGGGACAATTTAGTGAAGTAAGTTTTGTATAACCTTGTCACAAAATTCTTCATGATAATGTAGTTTGATACTCCTTATGAACAATTCATGTCGAGAAATCGACAAAACGCAATGTTTTCTTGGCGTTTTTAATCAGTAATGGAGAAATCCTTAACTGCACAGCCGTACGTTTTAGCGGCAGCTGTCAGTGAATATGTAGCTAATAAAAGTTAAAAACAAAGCTATTAACCTTACGGGAAAATGCCAGATACGTATATAAGGACAGGGCTCAAAAGCATGTAGCAGTATGCAGTGTCAGACTTCAGTCATACAATTCAAATGTCAATAAAGTAAAAACCTTAAATTCTCTAGACTAATCAGTCTTTCATTTAACGATCTATTCAAGAATGTATGTGAAACAAATAACTTTTACTACTAATTCAACATTTAAGTTCTGTAAAAGTAGACAAATAACATTATAATGAATCTAAATGAGTATAATGATAGAACAATGTTAGATTAGAAGAGTTACAACATTGTAAATGTTCAAAAACCTTCAGGGGAAAAAAAGTTAAAAAATGGGACACTGTTTAAGATGAGAATGCGAGACAAATCGAATTTCCTTAAAAATTACATCAAAGGAAAGATATTGTAAATCAGTGTTCTCTTCAGTTTAATATCTACACGTATACAAGTGTTTGCTTACGTACAAGGATATCAAAATAAGTAAATATGCGACATTGACAGCCTAACTCTGATTCATAGTAGGCGAACACTTCACTGGTTCTATACTGAACCAGACACGACTGATACGCATGCAAAACTGTCGTCTGAATATTGAATAAAGGATGAGCAGTGATCCATCTGAGGGTATGTGAAAAAAGGAAAAATGTAAACATATATAGCACTATACGCTGTCGACCGACAACAGTGTCAGTTATGAGTCTTGAGTACACAATACATCGCAAGTAAGAATTATAAGTATCATAATATTTACCACTAATAAGATATTTCTGTTCACATTTGGATTTGCATAATAACGAATTTTCAATTAGAGCATGTACGCACTGAGATGGTGCCTCAGGGAGAATTTCACACCGCAGAAAGTAGAATATCAATATGTTAAAACGAAAAATAAATCACTAATCTATAACAATGTTTGAAATGCTGTTTGAAGATGATTTTGATCCGAAATAAATGCATGTACATGTATTCAGTTGCAAGGTGAATAAAGCGAGGATTTACTTTCTCTTCATGGCTGAAAAGACATTTTTCAGTCAGCTTTTGTGACTCTTAAAACAGACATGTGATTGCGATTTCTTATCTCTGGTCATATTGACATGTTTGTAATTGAGTTGTCCAATTCACAGCACTTCTGTTATATTAACAGTACAGAAAAGCCGGTATTTACACAAAGTATAAGTGTTTGTTGTGTCTTATCATGTGTGCATCTTCCTGTATATCCTTCATTCCGTGTGTACTATTTGGAATTAAATATGTAATTTTCCAATGCAGTCGTAATTTGTTGGTACTTGTACAGCGTTTGCTATATATATTCCAATATATTTATATTTATTTTCTCCAATTTTTAACATGTGTAATGTTGATGCTATTTCTTTCATTATTATGAAATAAACCGTTGTTTGTTTGGCAAATTCTACTACAATTGGAACAAAATCGTTATGCTATCGGTTCACGTAATATCTAGTCAATATGTGAATGATATATCATAATTATGCGAGTTCAATATCAAAAACTAGTTTTACTTGAATACTCAAATATCTTTAACTTATTAACATGTAGAATTCTGACAGAAATCTACGCCTTCCTCATGGTTTTAAGCCAAGTCCTTATATACCGCATCTGGCGATATATGCGTTTCATTTGACATTAGTTTTAAAGCTCCGTATATGTTTACTTTGCCTCTGTTACTCATATACCGGCCATGTAATTGAAGTCACATTTTAATCTGCTAACTAGATTTTTACTGTGTTGTCCAGTCGTATACGTCATACATATTGCACCTATTTACCTGTTAGTCTTGTCGGAAAAATCTGTTTCAAATTCATCATAACAGTTTTTGATATTGGTAGCTGGATCCTTAATCACTAGGATTTTTTTCTCTTAAACTCACCTTATTCCACTTATTTCAGTTTACAACTGATATGTTTACCCCACTATCATCAAATGGTGGGCTGTTCAAATCACTCTTTGTCCGTGGTCCGTTCGTGGTCCCGCCTTCAACAATTCTTGTTAGCGATATTTTCCAAACTTTATATATAAATTCCCCTTGGTCCTTTTTCTCAGATAGTTTTGACAGACTTTTTTCATATTTCATACGTAGATTACCTCTTTGTCTGTAGTTGTGCATTCTTAATTGGAGACTGATTGGGAAAAAACAAGATAGTCATTACGCAGCCATGTCGGAATCTCTATTTTTATTAAGTACTAAACACACATCTTTTTCCAAATTTCATACATATAGCCTCCCGTCGAGCGTAATTGTACTTGATATTTCGATTTCGCCATTGTTCGAAAAATATGGTAGCCGGGAAGGTTTTATCTTAGAAGTGAGCTCGAACACTCTTAATCTCAGCTATATAAAGTTCTAGTGAACAATTTACATACTATGTGTTTACTGTTAGGAAAACAATATAATCAACACATAAGAGAAACAAATCTGCAGTACAAAACACGCAGAGAAGACAGAAACAAGTATGCATTAATATCGTAAATCCTCATTGTATATTCGTACTCAATGATGTGAGAATAAATTTAAAGACATTTAAATTGAGACATTTACATTCAATTGAAATTTTGCCATCCAATGTTGGAGTGTTTGAGCTTAAATGACATGGTTATTTTATTTGATACTTACTGAAATATTTCTGATTTAGCTGATGACGCCATTAAAACTGAGTGCGCAATATGACAGTGTTATGACGCAGTGTAATTAAGTTTTAGCACACTGTATCTCTTACCAAGTTTTTAAAGTACAATCACTTGTGTGTGTTACTTCCATCTGTCCAGATACAAGGTGGTAGACTGCTGGTGGATGTTTGAGTCCCCGTGGTTTGCTGTAACCTTGACGACCACAGTTATCTCTTTTCAGTAGTGGCACGGTTCATAATAAACACATTTTAAAGATAATTAATTTGAGATTAACAGTACTCGTCTTACTTTTTAATTCATAAATTAAGGAGTTTTAATGCACATGCCCCTCGGTTTCAACAGTAGTTTTGACAAATTTAGGTTTCAAATTGTTTGGCCCATTAAACAGCTGTACGATGTGGTGTTATTCATTATAAGCGAACTGCATCTATTACTAAATTTAAAGTTGCAATCAACTATGTATGTGTGTTACATACATGTTTCTGATCATTTAAAACAAAACTCACATTAAAACATTATCCTTTTTGTTTGCACCAGTGCCGGCGAGGTTTGGAAAGGAAACCGTTTTTACGATCAGGCAACATTTTACGATGTTTATGCGCATTACAAGCATAGAAATATAACCACAAACGAAATAAAAAACAA